CAAAGATAATATATTTATTTATGTATATGACATACTGGATCATATTGTATTGCAACATATGGTAATGTATCGAAATGTATCGCAATGTATCGTATCATATCGTAACAATTGTAACCAGACATTGCAACTTGACCGCATAATGAGGATGCTTGTACTTTTCATCCCTTGGCGAGGCAAAACATCACACTGCCATGGAGCTGCTTTGGCATGATACCGGGTTGCCTGCATGCACATGCATGTATGATTGCAAAATTGTGCACTTTCTTGTAAAGCATGAGATACAAATAATATAGGAAGTAATCCATAAAAAAAACATATTGGTAAAACTCCACCGGGTACCGCTTTGGCTATGTTCACACTTGTTACATCCCCAAATTGTCTAGGGGTTGTGGGGAGTAACACAATAAAAAATAAAAAAATAAAAAAACCTGAGAGAAAGAATCAAAAGAAAGTTAATATCACTCCAAACAATCACACTCTTTTTTCAGCTCTAATTTGGGCCACTTCCATATGTGGTCCAAATCAGATACAGGTCTGATTGCATGCAACGTGACCACAGTGTGGACAGTCACATCAGAATTCATGTGACTTTTATGTCACTCTAGATCTACATTTGTCATACAGGTCACTACAGGACTGTGACTGTTCACACTGTGATCGTACATGTGCCACATTTAAAAAATAATGTGAACAGCCACACAAAAAAAAAAATCTGATCTGAGCAATAATTTAGAATTGACCTCTGAGGCTTGAAGTGTTAACATAGCCAAAGTTTTCAAATAAAATATATATACTCAAGCTTGCCTCAGTAAGGATTCTTCATCATCCTATCCATGCCTATAAAAAAACTGATGCAATTTCTGAAGTTGTTGAAAGATTATAGTACTTATACAATGCATGTACTGTATATATTTCTCATTTAAAAAAAACAAAAAAACATGCATATTATGACCAACACACTTTGATGTCTGACTCTGCTATGGAAAGCAGACATATACAGTCCCTTAAAGGCTATGTGCTGTCTGTGCACAACTTGATGTGATGAGAGAGGATGGTCTACCATTCTTATTTTGGGAGGACAAAGAAGAAAATGGGTGAATATGTTAAGCAAATACAACATAGTGAGCCCATTTCACAAACAATACTTAATCCCAGAAAGACAGCAACTGTCAAAGCAAATAGAGCATATAGGAGATATCTTGTAAAACAGATTTTTGAGGTTGCTTGGAGGTTATTTTCATTTGCCTGGAACATGTGGTCTCTCTTGCACCCTTTTCTCTCTTCTCTGTCATACACACACACACACACACACACACACACAATAAACCAACCAAGCAAACTACATATTTTTATCATATATTAACACACACAAACTGACACACACACACAAACATCAAACCCTAACCATCTGTCTCTGCCTCTCTCCCCCTCTCTGACACATACACACTCTTTCACACTGTCTGTCTTAACCTCATGTTTCTATGAAAAGAAATAATTCCCCATTGCTTTGTACTGAGAGTTTTTTGGCCTGTACTGCTACTGTTCCATTTGCTTTTAAGTGAACTTCATCCAATATTGAAGCCCAGTATGGTCTAATCTGAGAGCTTGCAGTGGAGAAGTATTACATAGCAGCTGTGTAAAATGTCGCTTTTTGGTGTAACCCTCTCTTGTTTCTCTCTTTTCTCTCCATCTCTCCTCTATTTTATCCGCCTCTCTTCCTCACTCGACCGACCGCTCCCCGACCGCTTTCCTCCCACTTCATCTGTCTTTCCCTCCTTTCCCCTCTCTGTCCTCCTTTGCTCCCTCTCTGTGCACTTTTCAGGACTACACATTGACAATGTACTTCCAGCAGGCCTGGCGAGACAAGAGGTTGTCCTACTCTGAGATCCCCCTCAACCTGACCTTAGATAACCGGGTAGCTGACCAGCTCTGGGTCCCCGACACCTACTTCCTCAACGACAAGAAATCGTTTGTCCACGGTGTCACAGTGAAAAATAGAATGATCAGACTGCACCCGGACGGTACTGTTCTGTACGGTCTAAGGTGAGATTTTAATCTCTTAAAATAAATGTTTTGACTACACAACAAGACCAAGGGGTTAGATATTTACATGTGCAAATAAACAGGAAAAAACATAATTGCTCCCACATGCTGGATGAGTACGGTACCAGATAATGATAGACTACGCTGCACAAATTGTAGTCATTTCCACTTCATGTTGTCAAACACTTCACACTTAATCCTTTGTCAGAGCACTTTCTATTTTTGAAATCAAACAAACAACCTGGGAGAAAAATAATCAAATTTCTACCAACTTTAATATAACAATAAGTCAACGATTGCTGCATTGGACTCCGTCAGTAATTAGCTCATTACAGCCAGATGAAGGAAACTAGTGATATGAGGTGCAATATTGCCCCTGAGCGAAAATTATAATGTTGATGAAGTGACCTACTTGTGTCCTCATTTACAGGACATGTGCACATCACCAACTGAAGGTTTCTGTAACAAGTTCCGCTCGTTTACAAAGTCTTAATATTTACATTTAAAAAGCAGAGAAAATAATCAGTACCCAAAACAGAGAAATTAGGCAACATTTGATATTTTTTGGCTTCCTGATTGTACCCTCTCTCTTTGCACGAACCAGTTAGAATTGATGCCCTGATGGAGAACATATCTTTATACAGCCAATCAAATTGTTATATTTTTAACTGTCTTTGCCTAAAGTAGGAACTTTATCATCCTAATATAGGCAGACCACACAGCCACGAAGCAGCCTGCTACACACAGTAGCTTTCCTACTAATGTTTACTTCTTAGCTTACAAACACATGTCTTGTATTGCTGCGTTGGCTTGTGAATTTATGATCAAACAATCATCCAACAGGTAACAATGCACTGCTATAAGTCAGTTTGTAGGATAGTTAATTTGCTGGTGAGCTGCTGTACATTCAATGGCATAAAAACATATCTGCAAATGTCATTATGGTTAGTTCAGATGATGATGTGATCCTTACTCTTCAATATGGCGGCTAACAAAACACTGTGTCCTTCGCTTGTGAACCATACAGCTTCCAGCACAAGTTAGTTTTCCTTTTCTCTCCATTGCCTGGTCATTGCGCAGCCTGCTGGCTCTGTAGTCAATAATATACTAGACACTCTCTTCAAGTGCTGAGAGGTAAAAGGACATTTTTTGATAATCTCTCAAATATTTTTTCCCCCTTTTAATACTAATAATAAGCTAGTAACAATGGATTGAGTGTTGACATTATTTTTGACTGAAAAATGGGATTGTGATTTTAATTGGACTTGGAATGTAATCTTGTTGGATGATTGAAACATTCATTCATCTCAGTCATGCTTCCTAACAAAGAACAACTAAAAAGCATGTAGTTGTAAGTTTTACAATCTATTCAAATTCAGAGAGATAGATGGGTTTCTCAGACAATGACAGCTTTCAACATTCAGCAAGTTTGACACCTTCAAAGCTACAAAGACTGGAGTACTACTTATACGAACATAAGGTGTGATTTTATTTTAAATATTCTTCAGGGAGGCCTCTTTAGTGCATATTCTGAATATTTCCCAAGCTGAGACTTTTGCATGTTTGATACGTTAATATGACATCTCCCATCTGTTTTTCAGTTGGCAAAAACAAAACCCCTGTTAAACAATATAAACTGACTGACCCATTCCACTGAGTTTCAACCTCTCAAAGTTAACATGATTACAGTGCACTTCTCACACCTCACTGATGTCTCATCAGTTCATTTTGCAAATAGGTCTCTGATGTCCAAACTCTATAAAAAGTTATTGAAAACCATCACATCTTAATAGCCATCATGGCAGCCCATTGGCACTGCTGTGGGAGAGTAAAATTAAATAGAGAGAAAGAGACAACAAGACAAAGGAGAGAGAGGCGTTAAGGAGAGGATTAGAAATAAACCCTGTCAGTATTGCTTTCTTTGGTCTTCTTCATCAATGTTGTCCGTCTTCATTACTCACCTACTGGTCTGCTACAGTTTTCAGCATGTTGTAATTTGCTCAGGTTTCTTACACAAGATTACATTATGTTTTTTTTACTGCCTCCATGTCAACATATGTCTGCCAGGGTTTGATGGAATTAATGTGTTGAATTCCAAGTAGTTCTGATACTGAACACACCAGAAAGCGCTAAATAGTTGGTAGATATGCTGAGTGATGTAGTTACAGTATGAGTAAAAGGGAAGGAAAAGGAAAGGAAGAGTAATCCAATTCTTTACATAAAAGCAGGAGATAAAGAAAGAGACAAGGAGAGAAAATAAGTGCAGCAAAAAAATCCTAAAGGCAGTTTGCCTGAATCTATCTCATAACAACAATCAGTCACGTTTTACTTTTCATGGAACAAGTGCAAGCCCTTGAGTTAAAGAAGGAAAGAAAAAAACTGTCACAATGATACTGAATATATTACTGAATTCACTTGAGGACGTTTATGCCAAACAAAGGCACAGTAATGAGATCCTTCAGTGTATTATTGCAAGGTACCTTCACATGAACGTGGTGTCATATTATGCCAGAGCATTCACACGTGCAATGTGAATTAGAATCAGATTTAAGTGTTTGAAGCATTTTAAAGTTATTTTCTTGTTGTTGTTTTTTTTAGGTTTATTATAGTGGGGAATAAAGTCATTTTGAAAAAAATCTGTGACATCCGGGACATTATGTACCCTGAATACTGTCAGTCCCTTGGGACATCGATGTGACATCCAGTACCACAGCAGCTTCTGCTATAATGCTTTTAATAAGAATAGTGCTTGATTATTGCATTGAAAGGATTCCTTCTTTCATTAGAGCCAATGTGCTCATTTTCTGGGAAAACAAAAGCATTCAAAAGAAAGCTAGAGAGGCATAAACAGAAACAGATTGTGAGGGTCAGATTATTCTAAAATAGAACTCAAATTATACAAATCATCCCTGTGTCAGGACATATGAGTTCAAACTGATAACCTACAGTATCAACCCAACCATTTAATCCAATATGCAAATGAAAAATCCATAATCATTTGGAATATGAGTTTGCACATTTCCCATGCACCGCATAAATTGTGATACAAGTCAGAGCAAATATTACTTTGGATGAAGTGGGATTAGATTGAAACTGGGCAAAGAAATCCATCACCATTGACACACATTATCATGTAAGTAGGATGACCAGATTTTTTACAAATCCTAAATTGGGTCAGGGGATCTTACGCATGTCAGTGAGTGCACTCAAATCCATGCAGCACATACAGATACAGCATATTACCCTCCCCTGAAAGCCTAATTCAAATTATATTTTATTTTATATGTCAATCATTTAGATTAGACTACATGAAACTTGAATGGTCCCTGAGATGCAAATTGGGTTATTGCAGAGGCCAGTAGTAAAACCATACACCAAAGAAATTGAGTTATGCAAATTATAATTCCTATACTCTGACAATTAGAAAAAAAGGTTTGACATTTTGAGAAATACACTTATTTGCTTCCTAGATGAAAATAAGATTGATGCCACTCTCATGTCTGTGCATTGAGATTAGAGCTAGAGCAATGATTAACCGACAAATACAAACAAAAATGTAAAAAAGTTAAATGCTGGAACTATTTCTAGTTGAAAAACAGCCTGGCCAAGTGACTTCTCAGAGTCACGGTCATCACTGTGTGTTGGATTGATGGATAAACTGTTATTCACAGTAAGCACTGTGAAAAAAACTATGTGCAACTTGTTGATGTGTACTAAGTTACCTATAATAAAATCTTGTATAGTATATGACAATATTTTCCCCCTTTCTATAAAAAAAACAAACAAATATAAATGTACTTAATCAGAATTGGCAAAGAGAAATGTTACCTAATGAAGCAACCTCAGACAAAACTTACTTAATATGGACTTGGAGACATGGAGAAACCATGTCACTGAATATTTTTTTATTTGTTTTGATGATTAGACTCTAAGGATGTGCTTATTTTTTGCTTTTGAAATGAGTATGATAAGAAAGAAAGGAGTGTCCCTAATACTTCTTCTCTCCTGTGGCTTGAAGTGCTGCTAATAGTAATCTGTGCATCACAGTTATGTTTCATCAGTCAAATGCAATACAACATTTATTATTTAATAAGGAATAGTGGCTACATTACCTGTATACACAAACAGCAAGATGCATTGTTGAAAAGGAGAATCTTCCCATTGAGACACTTTATTGGAAACATAATTGGATGCAGCGAGTCCATCAATGCTGATAATAGAGAAAGCCACACACAGAGAATGTACAAACAGCTGATGAATATTCACACACACTCTTACTGTATTTGCCATTGAACTGCCAATTCATCCCGGAGACTCATTATGGTAGCTAAAAGGCAAACAGCACCAACCCTTTTTGTGGGCTGATATGCATTCATTTGCACACATCTGTTGACATGCAAGCTAGTGTTCGCTTTCTACATAATTTGAAACACCCCCCACATTGATCTTCAAAACCATTCCAAGGGGGTTCTTCTACCTGTGAAGAAACAGCAAACAGGAGAAATTGACTTCAGGGAAGAATAATAACAGTGCAAAAGCAAATGATAACAAACAACAGAAGTGCCTCTCGGTATTTCTTAGGCAGGGTTGACCTGAGAAGGCACATCTGAAGGGGGGTCTTACCTTTGTTCTTTATCGGGGTTATTTGCTGGCCTGAATTCTTTGGTGAGCTGACTAGTGTGTTTGTCACTTAGGATTTTTAAGCACAGAGAGACTGCAGTAAGACTGCAATAACAAAAAGCTAAGGAGAGGAATTAGCATGAAAATGTATATATAATTCAAATAATCAATATTAGAATGACTAAACAGTTCCAGTAAATGACAAACATACTATTTTGCCTTCCAACATTAAAGAGCAGTGTTTTCTGTTGACTATGTAATTAGCATTTAAGTGATTTGGTTCTTTGGGCGTCCTACTCCCTATGTTTTCTTGTTAGGCTGTAGGTGGGAACCAGCTGGCAATGGAGGATGAGTGCTCTCTGAATGCTGTCACTATCTTA